GGCGGAAGTCTCTGCTAAGGCAGAGCCTGCCGCCCGGGCAGCCCCTGTCACCCCTCCGGAGCCCGCTCCCCGGCCAATCCCCACTGCCAGAGCCCATCCGGCTGCCGGGGCAGTCCCTGGCGCCCCAGCGATGCCAGCCTCCGCTCGGGCAACTGCCGCTAGGGCAGCCTATGCAGGTCCTCTGGTCTGGGGAGCCAGGTCACTCTCGGCTACTCCTGCCACCCGGGCATGCCCCCCGCCCCCTGCAGCTGCCGCCGCCCGGGCAGCCTCTGCTGCCCGGGCAGTCGCTGCGGGCCACCCAATCTCTGTCGCCCGGTCAATGTCTGCCTCCCGGGCATACCCTCCCGCCCCGAGCAGGGCCCATCTTAGACCCCCCAGCCCCGAGATCCAGGTTGCTGACCCGCCTACTCCGCGGCCTGCTCCGAGGCCGAGCGCCTGGCCAGACAAGTATGAACGTGGCCGAAGCTGCTGCAGGTACGAGGAGGTATCATCCGTCATCTGCGAGATTGACTCCTCCAGCGATGAGTCGGAAGAAGGGGCCAACGGCTGCTTCCAGTACCTTCTGCGACGAAACCGCCGCCCCGGCCAGACCCGGAGCCACACGGTCGGATGCAACCCAATCCGCAACTTCTTCACCAGAACCTTTGGAAGCTGCTTCGGAGCCCCCGAGAGAGCCCGTTCCCTCAGCCCCGGGAAGGCCAAGGATCCTTTTGAAGAGAGGCGCAAACAGATGCGCAAAGAGGCCATTGAGATGCGAGAGCAGAAACGCGCAGATAAGAAACGCAGCAAGGCCATCGACAAGCAACTGGAGGAGGAGAAGATGGATTACATGTGCACACACCGCCTGCTGCTTCTAGGTAATGCGGCATCTTCTGCCCCTGGGCAGTAGGGCCGCCCTGGGCACCCGGGGAGGAGGTGGTAGGGCCTTCCGGTGGGGCTTGGGCCTTGACCACGGGAGGAGGGGGTCTGGAAACCCTGATAGAAGTTCCACGGAGGGACCCCAACTCTGCCCTGGGGGTGGGAGAGGGGATTTTTTGAGGGTTCGGGTGGCCGAAGTATATACCCTCCAGGGAGAAAAGTGGTGCCGAGCGACACTGAGGGTCGTTACCGGCCGGAGGCCAGCGCCAGCGCCAGCGATCGTAGGCTGGACAGGCGGGGGCGTGAGGTGAGCCCAGAACTGCTGGGGAGGGCCCTTCGGGGCTCCCCCGGCTTAATTGTTCGTGACCGCGGTGGGCTAGGGCCATCGGGGTGCGCGCCCCCGCCTCGCCTGGCACGGCTGCTTCGACTCAGACAGCTTGTTGTTGGTGTGTGTTGGTGTCCATTTTCTGTGTTCGCCTGTGCATGACATGCTCAGTGTGTCCCAGTTTCATATCCCTGGCACCTTCAATGTACCCGCCGATTGTGTACTTTCACTCTGAAATGGGTAGTCTTGTAGAATTGCGCCATGGCGCCAGCAAAACTTTCCGTGTTGACACACTCACATTCAGGGGTACCTGTGGGAGGGCTGTCTGCAGCGAGCGGAGGGAGAGCGCAGGAAAGGTGGTGGGGTATCTCGGGTAATCTGCTGGGCCCCTGGCCCGGGGGAGTGCAGCCCAGCT